CGCCACAACGCCTGGCTATTTTTTTGGTTGCAGCCATCATTGTTGTTTGGCGGGCCCGGGCTGGATTCGAACCCGCCACCTTAGGTGTATGTGGCTCTCGCCTTAGCCACTTGAGCCACAGGTGCCGAGCCAATGTCATTTTCTTAGTTATTATTTTAAAATGTTCACATTCTACTCTTAGAAAGATTCACTTGTACCCTTGTAAGATAAACCTCAGAAGTGATCCCTCCAATCCCTCTCCCTCCGCCCATTCCTCCCTCCTCTCTCCCTCCCCCAACAACCCAATTTTAAAATCTTTTGGACCATTAAAGAAAGAGAATTAGCAGCTTGCATTTTGAGACCAGTGGAAATACATTTCCCAACATTTCTTTTAATTTTTGGAATTGTTTTGTTCTTTTGGAATTCTCTCTGGTGTGCCTCATGATAATTTGTCAAATTTATACAATTTTAAAGAATTTTTCCTCGTTCCTTGCCTCCCATGAGGTCATTTTGGGTTAGCATACAAATGTTCTCTATTAATCCAATGATGCTTTTACTGAGCATGGCCTTGCTTGCTCTTAGAAGATTTTAATTGTGCTTTAAACAGAGTAGAATGCAGATACAGCCCAGAAAACATAAACATGCTATGTGTATATTAACAGAAATGGTTTGTATTAAAAGTTTAGTACATATGAAGTATGGCATACACTGTTTTAAAGTTAAATCTGACCGTTATCATTCAACTTATAAGACTTTACGTGTAAAAACAAAATGGGTTGCCTGAAAAGTTTCCTTGGAACTTGGAAAAGCAGTGTTTATATTTTTCCTTAGGTTATGTAATCAGGGTGGCTTTATTGAGGGGCACCCCTTAGGTTTGAGTTTTGAGTTGTATAATTGGGTCAGTCTTGAGGGGACTGAAGCTAGAAGAAATTGTGTCAATTTGATTGTTTGTGGAAGCATTGTCAGAGCAACTCATATACTGTAGTCAACAGCATTAAGAAGCTAATTTTCTATTGCTGCTAACTTTGAAAAGGAAAAAAACTTACTATACAATTATTACACTGACACAATGAGAGATATTCTTGGATTATAAGGCTTGTGCATAAAGAAATGCTTTTATCTTTACCTGTATGGTGCCTCCTATAGGTAGGCAAATTGTTCAGTATGTGTGTACTCAAACATGAAGAAAGGCTCAAAATTATAATACTTACCTCTGTTCTTCAAGAATTTACTGGCTTTGGCTCGGCGCCTATAGCTCAAGCGGCTAAGGCGCCAGCCACGTACACCTAAGGTGGCGGGTTCGAATCCCCAGCCCGGACCCG